TATATATATCAGTAAGTAAAATGTTGATATAAGGAAGTTATTAAAAAATAAAAGCAAAATTATCTTTTACTTTTATAGCAGAAAAAAATTACAAATGAATGGTGGTTTTAGTATCCTCTTAGGCCACCTCTAACACTAATGGAGAATGCTGTACGATAGGGCATTGAGGCATACAAGCCTCTTGTTAAGCAGTTCTCGTTCCACAGTTTCTGCAAAAACCACCATCTACATAATTGTTCAACTTACCAAATCAGTGGCAAATCGAAGAATCGAGCAGGCAAAGGAAGGGTGGGGTAATGTGACGGAGGAACTCTTGCCGTGAGTGGTCGAGCATTGCGTTTTTTTGTTTTTTTACGTAACCAGTGATGAACAGCTGACCCAATTCTGAGTTTACAACTATCACTGTTCAATTCCGTAACGTAGTAATTTTGGACCCCCCCCCCCCAGAATACAAGGGAAGCATCGAGACAAACTATCCTTCTTGGAGGACCTTTTGATGAAAGTAACACGCGATTATATTGCATAGAGTGGAAAAACCACGAAAACCTACCACGGTTATCCAGACGGCAAGAGGATTCTAGCCCATGATTCGTCTATCATTGAAGATATTTTATGTCCGCACTCGAGCCGGGAGCAGAACCAGCCAACTCTGGGATCGAACCTGGGTCACTTCTTTGGGACGTGAGCGTTCTATCTCCTAAGCCCGCAGCACGAGCATTGCTTTTTGAAAAATGGATCCATAGAGGCCTGTTATGGGTGGCAACGCGTGTGGTTGAATGATGCCATGCGAACATACTGCTAAGCTGTCATGGAGCACTGGATCAATACTAAGGGTGTCGCATGCCTAGGCACCGCATACCATGACACCAGCTGTAGAAGCGGCATGCTGCTGTACAGTGTAGACAGGATTGACACCCACCGTTGTCTCTGTTTAGAGTTATATCGCTCTCGGTGGGATCGGACTGTAACCGACTAGAACCAGGACGTTTTTAACGATAAATCCGGATTGAACTTGGGGAGTGGTAACCATCATGAACAAGTATTGAGGTCCTGTGATGAGCGCCTCAATTCTTTCACGCTGTTCAGCAGCACAGGTGATGTGATGAGTGAGCTTATATGCATACATACTTGACAGTATTGCATCTTTTATTCACGATAGATGAGACCCAAGAGGGAGCTAAAACCTTCATTTATTTGTATTTTTTCCTGCGATAAATTATAATTTTGCTTTGATTTTTTTTTAATTAAGTACTTGTATGAAAGTTGCATTTTCGAATGTAAAATTTCACCTCATTCTGACGACTCCTTTTGGGTGTACTAATTTTTACAGCAATAGGTGCTCATTAATGCCTTAAAATGCAATCACAAATTTTTGCGGTAGTTCAGAATTGTTTCCTTTTTGTTGTTTGTTTAATTTTTTTATTTTAATACATAAAAATTATACACTTCCCATAATAATAATTTATTCTTTACACATAAAAATTATGCACTTCTCATAGTAAAAAAATTTGTTTAAAGAAATAATGGATAAAGCAAAAGATTTAATTAACAAAAACTCATAGAGAAATTAAAGGTATTTTTGAGTTTGTTTTGGGGTGTCAAGGTTGATTTGAGGTTTATTCGAAGTAAGTTTGATTGTTTGTTTGCTTATTTGAAGTAAGATTTTTAAAAAAAAGAACCTTAAAACATTAGCCTACTAAATCAAGATGTATTAAGTTGTTTCAACATCAAATCTACGATATAGCTGGGATATTTGGGATGTTCAGAAGATATCCCCACCCCCTCTTACTCCCACTGGTTTAGGGACAGCCCTGCAGGATTCATGGTGTCAATTATCTCCAGCACTACTTCATACATTGATCGAATCCATGCCGGCACTTCTTCGTGCTCGCGGGGGCCCTACACGATATTAGGCAGGTATACCAGTTTTTTTGGCTCTTCAGTGTGTCAATAATTAAACCCGATCTAAATTAAAATAATTTCAGAGTTACATATGAGGCTGTTTTTGTGAGTCGTAAATGAAGTTGAAATTGAGGTTTATTAATGAGGTTATTTTTTGTGCAAAACATTACCTGCATTTTCTACCTCAGAGGTATTTTTTTACATTTGTCAACCTCAAAACACCTTATTTTTTTGTAAGAGAATATTTGATAAGTTGTCGATTGATAACATCTGTGCAACAGAATATCAAAATCATCTTTTTAATGAATTTGAAGCATCATAAATATTTACTTTCATCATACCTGAACTAGGAAAGGAACAGTCAAACATCCTAAACGGCATACAGCATATCCTGATCCCACTGCTACAGCCCTTATAGTCGTAGGAAACACCTAAAGTAGTTTGTTATTAATAAAATAAATAATAGAATATTTCACAACAAGAAATGAATCATTAACAATGTTTTTTGTATTGAAGTTAGCAAATTTAACATGACCGAAAACTTAATTTATCCCATTTGAACAGTTTTAAGAAGAAGATTAATAGAATATTGAAAAGAACTTAAAATTATTGAGACAATTAAAAAATTGATATTAATAAATGAATTATTAATATGATTTGTCTTTTAATTCATGAAGTCTAAAACCGACTTTATTTATTTCCTGAATTGCAAAGTTAGTATAAAATATTTTCATGTGAATTTAATGCATCCTTTGTAATAGTTTTCCAATTCGTGAATATTCATTGAAGTATCTTCTTGATTAGAGCTGTTTATATCAAGTCAAGAGTGCGTCTAAGGTATTGATATCTGGCTTCTTTCTTTATAGCTTGACACAACTGGATACGTCATCGTTGGCATCGATCATGATTGGTCTTTGAAAAGTGACATTTCTTTATGTTAGAAACTGTTCTTCCTATTCTATGCCGAGTAGGTCTACCTCAGCAAGTATGCATTCAATATGCGATCTCATAATAGATTATAGTATCATGTGATAATCTCGTAGCTTATTAATTCCTGTAAAATAATGAAATATGTAACTAATACTTAGCAAAACAAAGGAAATGGACTTTTTATTTTCTTTTATTAACGAAAAGAAGCCGACAAACAAGCCGAACAACTGCAACGTTAACACGCTACCTTGTTTAAAATCAACCAGATGACGCTGAGTCTACTGATCAGGTGGTTGTGTATCAGCGGTCTTCTTCTCGAGTTGAGTGCATTCTATTTCAGTACTTTGTCTATTTTTTGAAAAATTTGTTTCTATCTTCAACTGTTATTAGAAACACTTCAGCAACACCACACCACTGTCCAAATAACACTTCATTTCAATGACTTCAAGCATGACTACAAACCATATTTTTTTTTTATCTGAATGCTAGTTGGTATATTGATTTATTAGTAGATTTGAGTCACATTAGTTAATATTAAGAAACATACTTGATGATATATAAACATACTTGATGACTTGTATGATATAGCATTTGGTTCAAAGTAACTGTTTCAAATTACTATGATCTTGACATATTTTATCAGTTTGTTTGTACTGTTTTTGATAGGCTGTCATGAAATTGGACATATTAAGAACTGTTAACAGCTGTTCTTAATTCAGAGAACTGTTAACAACTATTCCTAGTTCTGTTAACAACATATTAAGAATTGTTAAGAAACCACGGTTCCCGGCAGATCACCGAAGTCAAGCATCACCGGCTGCGGTCAGTGTGGGGGTGGGTGACCACTTGGATCAGTCTGTATAGAGATCGAGGGTGTGCGGTATTGATGATCACTAAAATGTTCTACCGTAAAGTGCTCGACTTCGAGTGCAAGTCGTCAGGCTACCGAAGCAGGGATGCCATCCCCTCTGCAGAGGATCAAAATTGTGATGGCATGTCTTCGGATCACCCTCAGGGATGTTTCTCAGACCGTCGCCAATAGCCCATTGTGCAGCATTGAGACGTAAATGAACTACAAAGTTAAGAATAACTGGAACACATAGAACTGATATATAACATCAAAATAATCTAAAATATAAACAATCAAAGCCCCCCAGCGGGCCGAGGTAAAATTATCAAACGTTGACAGGTCCGCGGTGATAAAAAGGTTGGGGAACACTGCTTTACACTATTGATAAGCAGTGCTGTGCTAATATTTAAGATATTTTCTGGGAATACATTTATATTATCGATTTTGACACACGCAATGTGTGTACGTATGTATGTACGTATCATACATTTTAATTACATTCATTTGCACATTCATTCGCTGCAAGTACAAAATGTATTATTATACAATACACTATACTATCGGTACTGTAAAATATAATTATATAATGGTATTCATTCGTTTTGTAATTGTATATGTAGATTACTTGCTATCATAATTGCCTGTAATTCCATATTTTGACTACTTATAATCACGATTACAAGTAAAATTGATTACCGTAATTGGTTAAGTAATCACGATTACAGTTGTAATCAAAGTTTGCAATCATGATTACAAAATTATTGATTACTGTAATCCGAAAATGCAATCGATTACATTTTTGCCTTACTCTGATGTAATCAGAAATCATGATTACCTATAACCGAGATTACAAGTAATTAATTATACAGCAATAATTATTTGCAACCAATTACAGCTGCAATCGATTTCTATAATCGACGCCCAGCTCTGATAAAACCTGTTAGAACTTTAAGCATTGGTGAAAATGAAATTTGTCTATAAAATCACTCCAACACTTACAGAGCACTTGCTCTAGACAGAACACAACTTGCTCCAGACAGCGGATAAATAATTTCGAGTCTTTTAATCTATAAATCTTTGTCTAGTAAATATAATTTACAGTGTTTTATTTACCACTTCTTCTAAATAATTCAAAGATTGGCTGCACTTGAGCCATGTTTTACCTCATAAAGAGTTGACAAAATTAACCGAAACTTTGCAACTTTTAGGTTGTAGTTATCGGTTTTTATTATATATTTTGTCGAAGCAGTTGGACAAAAGATTTACTCATTATATTAACTCATTTCAAAATTGTGAATGTTTGTAATCATGATTACAAGTTGTTGNTATTTCTTTTATGAAATAATTTAAATGACAAAGGTCAAGTTTTCTGGAATGTCAATTTATTCGGGGGTACTGCGTTTTTTAAATGAATAAAATATGACGTTTGCCAGTTCCACAATCAAGTCAATGATTTACTGAGGTTTCTGCACAGAAATCTGAAAGGGGTTTTCCATTTAGATCAATGTTCATAATTGCGTTTAACGCTTCTTGTTTAAGACCAGTACGTAATGTGTTACAAGAATTGCTGAAAAGCCCCTTTCAACCGCTGCAGTACTCCCAGACAGAGAAAATATCAATTCCATTTCAGGGTCATTTTAGAAGTGAGGCGCTAGACTCTTGAAAGATAACAAAAATTGAAAATGTATCACGAACATTAACGGGAAAATGGCCGTCCGCGCGGACGTCGGATTCGAGAAATTCGTTGTCCGCGGGGAATTTTTGACCGCCGAGGACGGGCGGACGGGCTGTTTTTCGAACCCTGACTGCAACGTTAACTCGCTATCTTGTTTAAAAACAATCAGCTAGCGCTGAGGCTATTGATCAGGTGGTTGTGTATAAGCGGTCTTCTTCTCGAGTTGAGTGTGTCCTGTTTCAGTACTTGGTATATTTTTTAAAATTTGTTAATTTTTTCAACTGTTGCTAGAAACACTTCAGCAACACTTCAAAAACACCACAGCACTGTCGTAAAAGCTTTTCATTTCAATGACTTCAGAGACGACTACAAGAAATGTATTTTTTTTTTTATCTGAAATGCTTGTTGTTATCTTGATTTATTAGTAGATTTGGGTTATGTTAGTTAATATTAAGAAACATACATAGCTCATTTGATTTAAAATAACTGTTTCAAATTACTATAATCTTGACGTATTTTATCAGATTGTTTGTACTTATTTTTTGGATGGGATGAAATAGATGACATATTAACAACAACTACGACACATAAAGCTGTATGGGTTGTTAAGTTTATCCGCACTACACCGTGAAGTGTGGCTTAATGTAGACAAAATTACTTCTTATACAGGAAAAAAGTATTTTGAAAAAGTATACAACTCAATCTCAAATATATTTTGTTTTATTTTATAACCGTTGTTGGACAGCCGACTCAATTTTGAGTTTACGACTATCAGTTCACCTCCGTAGCCTTGTAATTTTGAACACAGCGCAGAAGACAAGGGAACATCTGGATCAAGTATTGGTAGAAAGTTTTGTTTTAGTGGAGACTTTTCGATGGAACTAATCCGCATTTGCGTTACGTAGGGAGAAAAACCTTCCAAGGTTAGCCTCACGGCAAGGGTACTCTAACTCTTGATTCGTCTACCACTGAGGATATTTTACGCCAGCACTGTGGTCGGTGAAAGCCGGATGCGGAATTCGTATCGACCAGCCATCGCTGTGATTCAAACCCGATTCATCTCATTAGAAGGCGAACGCTCCATCCCATGATCCTTCACAGCTCCGATCTCAAATATAACGAGAATGCGGGCACAGTCCACATTGTTAATAAAAATTATGTTAAGAATAATTTATTTGCCAATTGTGATTTAAAAAAAAATGACAGCTGTTATCCTCCTCTCACTGATATTAACTTAGTTTTATTATAAGCTGTAATAACAGTTTATACATAATTGAAAAGAAATCGGATTTTTTACATATTAAAACGAAGATATATAATATAAGTTTCCTTTTTTTCCTCGCAGTTGTAGTTTTCTCGTGTTTTTGTTTTCAACTAGTCATGAGTTTTGCGTAAAAGTATTTCACTTAAACATTAGCAAATGTTCTCTTACATTAAAATAAAATAAAATGGTCTAGCAGAATAAACATTCAATAATCTTACTTCACTTGTCATGATGGCGACCAGTTGAAAGTTTGCAGATAGAATACCTCTTGCACCAAACAAAATGATGAGAAGAAAAATTTTCCTGTAAAAAAAAAGTAAGAAAAAAAATCAGAATTACAAAGTGACATAAGAGCTTAAAAAATCCGGATTAAATTACTGTTTAAAGTACCGGCACTTTGAGGGCATCATTCGTAAAATTTCATTTTTACCGTAAAATAAGGGCCGAGATATCCCGACTGGGAGGGTGTTGGGCCCATGTTGGAGAGGTCATGAGTTCGATCCCTACCGGCAGAAGACGACGTGTGCGAAATGGGGACTGGCGCTTAGAGATTGATCATGCTCTGGTTCAGGTCAAAATTACGATCTGCGGATGGATTAAACAAAGTATATTACCATATGCTTTGTTTTACCAAACTTTTGTTTCTCTTTGTAAAACATTCATTTGGTAATTTTTCCGTTTATGCGGTAATGGTTAACTCGAAATTCTTGTTTCCAAAATTATAAATCGTATTACCACACCTTTAATAGAAAATATGAAACTAAAAAGTAAATCTAACCGGATAAATGGTTCTTAATGCCATGATCTGATGTATCATGATAAAATTATCAAATTTTACCACATTTACCTAATTTTATCACATATTATTAAACCATATTTTAGTGCTAATTTTGGTAAAACGTTTCGTCAAAAATTATCGACCGTTTTGTTGTATTGACCGTATCGTTTTGTTGTTTTGTTGTCGTAAGTTACATCATTCAGTGCGCACGTCATTACTGAATTTGTATAAACCGCATGTATTGTTGAAAGTAGTTGTCACTTCACTAACTAATTCACGTTACTGTGTAGTTGTTTCCGAGAGAAGTACGATGTTACCCTTAGTTATAAATTATGCTAAAAAAGTTATAAATTATGTTAAAAAAGCTAAAAGTTATCTTTAAAAATTATTGTTGTGACAAAAGTTACTAAGGTTCCAAAAATGTCTCAAATTCTTTTTTAAATTTTATTTACGTCACTTGTTAGTTTTTCTTTAAGAATTCTTGCTTGACCATTTAAACAGTGAGTTATTCGAACTTACTCGAGATCTAAAAGAAGAAGAACCGTCAGAAGGGCAGTAATGATGCAAGAGCCTCCAAAAAGCAATTTTCGAGAGCAGCAATCCACGAGAAAAGTAAAGATCAAAATTCCTGTTTTAGAACGAAAAAAATAAAATCTAAATTAATTTTGAATATCTGATATGCAGTGGGCTATAAAACGGACCACCCAGAAAATTTTTTGATCTAATCTTTGGTATCTTCACGTTCTAGAACATAATATTAATCTCAAATATGCTAATTAATTAGAGCAGAACAAATTTTTAGTTGAGAAATCAAACACACAAAAGTACTTTCTCTGGATGAACATAGTACCTTTTTTCGATAAATTTGTATTTTAGACCCCCAAAATATAGGGGGTAGCCCCTATCTGGGAAATATGATCTCAATAGTTTGATAAGGAGAGTAATCCAAAATCTGGATCTATTAATGTTCCTTTTTGCGTAATTCACCTTATCTCGAAAACTTTTTAATCAAAATGAAAAATTTCCACCCAATTATAATATTCGTTTATACAAAGGTTATTTCATACAAAATATAACTTTTAGTATACATTTATTATTGCATTGCTCCCGGATTACTGAAACCTGACATTGAAACCAGCTCCATATACTTACAAAAACTTTTAATATCATCTGGAAGTGTGAAAAAGTACAAAATCAATGAAAAGAGGCAATCAATGTAAAAATACCAAAAAAAGGGAGACCTCACAAGGTGTGGAAATTAGAGAGGCATAAGTCTTCTCTCTATACCTGGAAAAAGTATTTTGTAGAGTTTTTTGAAATAGGTCCGAACTTGAAGTACTTTTACGACAAGCTGGTTTCCATTCTGGGAGGCAGCACAATACAGACTCAAATTTTTGTACTTTGGAATATAATTGAACATAGTTTGGAGAGGAATTCATCTTTATGTCTAAATTTTAGTGACTTCAGTAAGTCTTTTAATTGAATCGATCGGGAAAAGCAGTGAAGAATATTGAAAAACCATGTACAAAAATATGCAAATTCCCATCATTATGAGTCTCCATAATGGAAGTAAAGCACACATTGAAATAGATAGAATACTTACAGACTGCTTTGATGTTCAAACAGGAGGAAGACGGGGATGTTTATTGTCTGTATTTTTGTTCATATTTGCTATTTATTAGATTATGAAGAATGCAACTGAAAATGAAAAAAGAGATACCAGATGGAATTTTAATACCAAAAGATTTTGAATATATGGATGGCATCGTCCTAATTTCTTCTAGATTCATTGATATTGAAAAGAAAACAGAAAAACTTAACAAACATACAGACCAAATTGCTCTGCAACTAATGAGAAAGAAACAAAAACCATGAGAATAGCTGCGAAAACTATAGATAGAACAAAAATAAATTCAGAAGAAGTTGTAGAATTTTTTTTTCTTCACATACCTTGGGGCGGTAGTAAATAAACAAGGAGGCAGCGACGATGATGAGCCAAAGAATCAAAAAAAGCTAGAACCTGTTTCAGAAAGCTTCAAAAATTTTAGAGAGCTTCAAATATAGATATCTCATCAGAAAATAAATGTTTTTAAAACTGTTGTTCGTTCCATGCTTTTGTATGATGCAGAATGTTCGAATCTCTGCAATAGAAAAACTGGAAACATTCCAGAACAAATGCTTAAGAATAATTTTTTAAAATTTCTGGCCTAACACTATTTCAAATACTGATCTACTAATAAAGGCAAAAATATCACCCATTCATCAGGAAATTTTGAAGAAATGATGAAAATGGACTGGACATTTCCTTCGTCTAAAACGAGACAACCCTGCTAACATCGCACTTACTTGGGCACATGATGGAAAACGTGAAAGAGGAAGGCGTAGAATTACTTGGCAAAGAAACATGCACCAAGATTGGTGCAAAGCAAAACTAAATGGATGGGAGGAGGCAAGGGCTGGCTCAGGACAGGGGTGCCTGGGTTGATTTGAGGCCTTATGTGCCATCTGGCGAGAAGAGGACTGGCAGACGGCTACAGTAGTTGAGCGAAATCGGTCGAATAGTTCTAAAGAAAACGAACTTTTATAAGATTCGATTTCTTAGGAACTATTCGAGCGATTTCATTCAAATTTTGTATTTTACCATGTAAAATTAAATTCCTTAAAATATAAAAAAATTGTATATCTTGCAATTCAAAATTTTTTTATTTCTGTTTTTAAATAGTATAATAAAAAAATGATAAATATTTACTATGTTTTTATGTAGTTTATGTTTTGAATAGAATTTTCTTTGAATAAACGAATTTTATAATTGTGGGCAAAAATATTTCAATTAGCTTCAAAATTTTTCGAGATACGGATAAAAACGAAAAAAAAGTAAAATTAACACTAAAAAATCCAAATTTTTGACCAAACTATGAAGACCATATTTTCCAGATTGCGGCCACCCTCTATCATGTAGTGGTCAAAAATCTGAATTCATTAAAAAAAAGAGGATTTTTTTCGACAGAGAAAGTACATTTTTGAGTCTGGTAGAATACCTGAATAACTTAAAATATCGTCAGCACTATCAAAAGTTATTCAGGGTGGTCCTTCTTTTGCGCATTGTAAGTATTCACCGGTTTTCTCATACAGGGATGAGTTGGGACATAAAGCTTCAGTTAAATCAAGATCTGTAGATTAAGTAATTATCAAACAATATACACAGTCCAGTCACATTAATGTGACCACCTGTCAAAAGCCAGAATAACCACCTTTGGCAGCGCCGACCGCTGTTCGACGTGCAGGAAGAGAGCCAATCAGGTCTCTGAAGGTGTTCACTGGGATGTTGAGCCATGCCGACTCCAGTGCCGTTGCCAGCTGCGCTAGATAACGTGGTAGAGGATCCATGGCGCGAACAACCCGATCGAGGTGGTCCCACAGATTCTCTATTGGGTGTAAATTCGGTGAGTTTGCTGGCCAGGGGAGTACGATAAATTCATCCTGGTACTCTTCGAACCACGCACATACACTGCGAGCTGTATGACACCTCGCATTCTCCTGTTGGTAGATGCCATCTTTCTGAGGAAAACTCATTCGCATGTAGGGGTGGACATGGTCCGCAAGGTTAGATGCGTACTTGTGCTGATCCATCATGCCTTCCACAATGATGAGTGCACCCAGTGAATGCCAGGAAAACATTCCCCAAACCATAATGCTCTCTCCTCCAGCCTGCAGCCTTCCGGCAATTGTTGCAGGGTGCTTGCTTTCAGACGTTTCACGCCTTATGCGCCAACGTCCATCTGTCCGATGGAGCATAAAACGTGATTCATCGGAAAAAGCCACCTGTTGTCACTCTGTGGACGATGTCTAGCAGAACTCGATAAACAGCAGTCAGCATTGGTGCATTAACCAAGCGTCTGCTGCGGAGGCCCATGCGCAGCAACGTTCGCTGAACAGTTGTTAAGGATACACTCTTGGTAACCCCTTGGTTCATCTGGGCGGTCAATTGCTCAACAGTTGCACGTCTGTTCGCCTGAACGCATCTCCGTAGCCTTCGTTCGCCTCTGTCATCTATGACCCGTGGTGCACCACATGTGCCACGCCGCTTGTTTTGTACAGTGCCATTTTTCCATGCACGGTATACTTTTACCATGGTGGCACGCGAACAGTTCACAAAATCAGCCGTTTCCGAAATGCCTCCACTCTTGGCCCGAAAGCCAATAATCATGCCCTTTTGGACGTCGGATAAATCGCTACGTTTCTGCATTACGCCAACGATTGAAATGCTTTCCGATGCCCTTGGACATCCTATATATGCATTCCACTGTGATGTGCTGCCACCTGCTTTCTGTGATTGGTTATTTCACGTTGACGTCGAAAGTAGGTTGTGGTCACATTAATGTGACTGGACTGTGTATTATGTTAAAGAATTTGCTTTGACTTACTATATGCGCTAGTATTTTGCAATAAAAATCACTTTATTAATTCTTTTTTTTTATTTACAACTTTTAGAATAAAGTTAATGCTTATAAAATGCTTTTATCGTGAAATTTTTTGTTAGGATACAATTCTATATTACAAAACAAGTAACGCAATCACGGAGATGCAATTTTAAAATAGCAATAAAGAATAAACTCATTTTTGTTAAGTTACTGAGTACTATTGAATTCTATCGGACGAATAAAATCTACCTGGCAATTCTGCTGAACTGGTCCATAGTAAATCAAAGAAGTTCCCGTTCGATAGTTTTGTGCATTTTAATACATCATCTATCTCTCTTTGATCACTCTCTGATGTGTTATAAGAATAAATTGCATTGCCGGATACGTTGTTACTGTTCTCTTCTAAAATAAAATGAAAAGTTGTGCATCAAAACGTTAAATCTATTTTAATTTTTGGTTTCGTATGGAGAGATTTAATGAGTGAAGCAAAAATGTCTTACCAATCATAAGTCCCCCTTTTTGAATAATTGTCGGTGTTAGAAAAATTATTCCATAATAAGTTGAAGCTATTCCCAACCTAAAATACAATGATTGCGGTTAGAGTTAAAGGAATTTTTTTTCAAATTAATAAGTTTCTTTTAAAATTCTTATTATTTTTTCATACGGGAAAAATATTTTAAAAGAAAGAGATTTTATACCAATGATTGTATCCTTTGTTCATTTGAACATTAAAAAATACATGTTTAAATCACACAATTTTAAACTTTTTAATGAAAGCTTGCATTTCAAAAATGATAAAGAAATCTCGCAAGATAAAAGACACTACTGCGAATTTTCTGAAAACTTATTAAGAGGCTTAGTTGAATTTCATTGCCGCATAATTTGTCTTCTTAAATTTGATTGTACCAAGCTATGGTTTAGCTTCTTCTGAAATGTAGTTCAATTTAACTCCTTGTATGATGGTTTGCTCAAATTTTTGCACTATTCTAGTTCTCATTAAGAATATTGCAAACTAACGGTGAACCAATGTTAAGGAGTGTGAGCGAACTGTACTATAACGGCCCGCATGACTTAGGTTTACACAATGCGTTAAAAAAAAAAAGAGAGAGTTCTTTTGGTCTAATGATCGGATTTTCACCATCCTCAGATTTTAAGAATATCTCAATGGTTCTTGAGTCTAACCCTAAATATGCTACCTTATTAATGCATGCGATATTTAAACTTTCGAAATTAGGCACAAAAACACACTTTCTCTGAACAAGCATACCCTTTTTTAGACGGATTTGGATTCTCGATTCTTAAAATAAGTGGATTGCCACTGTCTGGAAAATATGGTCCCAATAGTTTGATCAGGAGAGTGGTCGGAAGTTTGAACCCCTTAATAGATTAGTTTTCGCCGTCTTTGGCCATAGCTCAAGAATATTTTAATTTAATTGAAAGATGTTTGCACACAGTTATGAAATTCGCTTTAGCCAAAGATAATTAAATGCGAAAAAGAATATTTAATAATTAGTTACTATTTCGTATTACTTTATTTAATAATTGTAGAAAACATTTTGAATAGTAAGATAAACAAATGTTTATATCATTTTAAAGAATGGAATTTGTTATGGAAAGATACAAAATTTGAACGAAATCATTCGAAGAATTACTGAAAAATCGAATTCTAAATAAATGACTTTTTTAAATTTTATTTTTTAATTTCAATTTCTTGAAAATTGGTTTTAAGGAGAAAAAGAGGTCTAAATTGTCAACGTACGCTGCTTTTGACAGCGTATCCAAAGTTATGCATTTGTTCTCAATGCATACTTCTACTTTTTACCCAAAAGAGTAGCAAGAATTTAACTATTTTTCAGCACATCGACATGTTACCTCATTTTTGCCAAATAATAACTCGGTCATTTTTGGTAGCATGCCTAAAATAAATTTTCATACAGATTTTTATTTGCAGATTTATTACTGCATTATTTCGCACGTAAACAATTGCAGATTTGAAAAAAGCAGTAGTTAAAACATGAAGTAAATAGCAGAAAATGTTATTTAAGTTCTGTTAAACTCTTTAAATTTTATAGTACGATATCACTTTACTGTTCTGTAATTCTCACATAGAGTTTTAAAGTGCAAGAGAAAGTAACAATAATCTAATGTCCTTACCAGATGCACCAAAACAAAAGAGTTGTCTTTCGAAATTCCTTAGAGAAGAGATCTCTGAAACGGCCTCTTTCAACATCTCCGTTGAGTTCTTGCAATTTCCCAAATGGTAAATTGGAACCATTCATTTCAGCTACACTTTGTAGCAATTTAGTAGCTTTTGCGTACTGCTTGCTCACCATACAATATCGCGGGCTTTCTGGATACCACTAAATAAAATAAATAACAATTGGATGCCTGCAACTTGGAAAGATGTGAAGTAATTATGTCTAATCATGTGATTTAAATCCGATATAATTGAGTACATCAAGGCAACGGCCTGCGTGATTGGTTTCTGAATTGACAAATGTCATGATTTAAATACGATGACGACACTTGCATCTAATTTTTAACACTTCGATGTTAAATACAAAAAACACTTAGAATCTTATAGTTGATGTTAGTAATTATAAAATTTGGTAATCTTTAAATGTAATTGTAAACACTAAGTTTTTCAGGTTTAGTAAGTAAAGAATGTTAATTTATTCCTCTAAGTCAATTAAGTAGTTCTTAATGGGGAAAAAATGCGGTCAGTAATTTTTGATTTTCTGTTGTCTAGCCTCTGAAAGCCAGCTGCAAATCGCCCCACCCCAATCCTAAGCGCGGAGGCGCTTTAGGTGAAAATTGGGGGAAAGGTCTCCATTAAAATATATTGTGTTATACACCTGAATTCATCAGAAATCGGTATGCTGAAAGATTAATAATAAACTATATTTTTATAATCAAGAATTACAATCTGCCATCGATTTAATTACATGCCATGTGTAATCGAAGTTAAGAACTGCTAAAACGGGACAATATTGATGTTATTTCTAATTATTTATAGATGGAGGTTCTCAAATCTACACTGCTAAAGATTTTCGGCCGTGTTTAAAATTGTGTGTGTAAAATTGCTACAACCTTAATATGGTTTTAAGTTTAACCATATTATCCCACTTTTTAAACTTTGTAATGATTCTATGGTAAACAATACTATGGTTCTACTTCTACTTCTACAGCAGGGCCGAAATATACTGGTTGGCAGGGAGCTGGACTCATGTTCGTAAGAACGAGGATTCAAATCCAGCCGGCAGACGGCTTACCGTGTAGTAAATGGTGACTGGTACTGTCGAGTCACAAAGTACTCCATATTCCTCAAGTCAAAGTTACGATCTGTGGATGTATGAATGTGTCGGGTGTGACCAGGGCCGGATTTACGTATAAGCTAAATAAGTTGTAGCTTGGGGCCCCGAAATGGCAAGGGCCCCAGATCCAACTTTTTCCTTCTTTTTTTAAAGTTTTATTCGGAGCTGGAGCCCTCTGAAGCATAAAATACATTTTTTTTCTTTTTTACATTGGCGAACGCTTTTCAAAATCTAATAGATGTGTTTACAAATATAAAATAATTGTTACTCTTCACTTTTCTAACCAAAAGAGCAATAAAAAGGCCTTTTGACTGATGAAAATATCCTGTAGCTTTCGCAGCTACCAGTGATGGGAGTAGTCCATGGATCCTAAAAAGCGGTACTCTAGACTCCATGGAGTAGTCAAATAGCTGCCTCAATTTTACACTGTGGGAAATGTTTTCAGCTTCTTTAAATTGCTGTGGGCTCTTTTGTCCTTCTCCACAGAAACACCCTTTTGTCTGATTTCTGGGCAAAAAATTTCTAGGGCTGTGAGAGAATCTTGTTTAGGGTCATTCTGTTTCGAGATTTCCGTTGTGTCTCATTGTCGTTAAAGAGCTTCTCGTTTACTTTTAACTTTTCTTTTTTACAAAATATATTTTTTCCAATTTATTATAAAAGCTTTTTTTCCTTTTAATTATCCTAAATGTTTTAACTAGCTTAATTGTTTAATTTACTTAATTATTGTAATTGATTTTAATTTGTTATTTTCCAAATTAATCGTACATGAATCCGTGAACTCCTTTCTTTATTTATTTAAATGGTGGGCCACTATTCAATTCCCTCTTTGACAGGCCTATCTGCCAAAAT